AGAGGGATTATGTGGGCGGGTGTGTGTGTGTGTGTGTGTGTGTGTGTGTGTGTGTGTGTGTGTGGGTCTTTGTGTGTGTGTGAGGAAACAAAGTGAGGGATTAAAGGGTTAGAGTCTGCTCATTGTGTGTGTAAACTATGTCAGTGTGTGTGTTTGTGGGTGTGTGTGTGTGGGTGTGTGTGTGTGTGTGTGGAGGGGGAGGTGAGAGGCAACAATGGGAAGGATTAAAGGGTTAGAGTCTGCATATTGTGTGTGTAAACTATGTCAGTGTGTGTGTGTGTGTGCATGTGTGTGTGTGAAGGCATGTGCGCATGCGTTTGTGTAAGTGTATGTGTGTGTGTGTGTTTGATTGATTGAGTAGGTGTTTTAAGGCGCTATCGACCCAATTTTGGTCATACGTGTGTGTGTGTGTGTGTCTGTTTGTGTGAGGGAGAGCAACAGAGACAGGGAGAAATGATAACAATAAACTACATTTGAATAGCACATTTACACTAAAGAAGAGCTGAATGTGCTTTACAATAATACAAAGGACACACTTTTAATAGCAGTCCTTTCTCTCCTCGTTTTCTCTCTCTCCCTCTTTCTCTCTCTTTTTCAATCTCTATCTCTCCCTCTCTCTTCCATCTCTTTCTCCTTCTTTCTCTCTCTCTATCTCTCTTTCTCTCTCTCTCTCTCTTCCATCTCTATCTTTGTCTCGCTCTCACTCTCTCTCTCATTTTCTCTTTCTCTTCCAACTCCCTCTGCCAACAGGAAATTCACAGTACCCGAACAGACGGACAGCTGGGAATGTCTCGTGGGGTGACCACGTAGACCCTCATCATCTGTGACATGCAGCCCTTCGGTTGCCTGAGGAAGAGGAAAAGACAAACACATTAACAAAGTATCGTTTCTTTATTTCATTTTGGCTTTTTGTTTTCTTGAGGATTTTTTTTTCTTTCACATTTACCGATGGGATTTAAAAAATTGTTTTAAAATGTTGAAGTTTTTACGCACGTTCCCATCGACACAATTTTGATCATTTCGGAGGTCGAATTCCAACTGTCATATTCGATAATAATAATAATCGATACTGATCTTGATATATATGGATATTGTAATCGATTCTAAAAAAATAAACAGTTGCCTTCTGGATAAGCAAGACGGCTGCCTTCCTGTTCTTTACCGTTACCCCGATGTGTGTCTCACGACTTGTTATGAATCAAACAATGATCTAAAGAACCCAACGAACACAACACCAACCCTGCCTGTCAGGACCACCTAGAGCTGAGACGGATACAAGATCCCAGCAAAAAGACTGGGACATTCAAAGAAAAATTTCTCTCCACTCGGGAACTGGACTCTGGTCCCCTGTGTGCAACAACGAAGAGGCTAACCGCTACATCACAGACACTGGCCGAGTATCACAGACGTCAATTCAAATTAAGGGATATAAAAATCCTGACATCTTTATTTCATTTTTTTCATCATCATCATCATAAACTCCACACGGAACATGATTTTCATTTCTTAAAAATTTTACACACTGCAATGTTAAATGAATGCAAAAAATTGCTCAGACCTACTTCAAACACAGAGGAGGTGTGGTGTGTTTTGGAACAGAGCTAAAAAAAAAAAAAAAAAAAAAGGAAGTAGTAGGAAGAAGTCAACTCACTTGCACTGGCACAGGGTGTAGAGTGGCATGTCAACATGAACCAGACGACTTGCGTTGTCCTGGGAGGCGAATGGATGACACAATTAATTCTTCACGATCACACAGTTAGAGTAACAAAGCAGCATTTTGAGTGGTTATAAATAGAAATTTCATGGGAGCTTATAATAGAGTAGGCTTGAAAACCTCTTCAACATCCGATTGGGGACACCCAGTGCAATAACATCATATTGTGAAACCACAACAAAGAGTCTACATAACAAGAGGGTCCACTCCTCTCTTTGAGCCAATTAAAAAAGTGTCCTCAAAATTCGGTGGCGCCCTCTTCGCAAATGCGCACCCTTTGCAAACAGAGTTACCCTACTTGTGTTTAAAAAATCAAAGTGAAACTAACAAGTTTTTGAATAAATAAAATTTTTTTAAAAAGCTCACAAAATACCTCTTCCGGAGGAAGGGGCGACTGTTTTCTTCGTTTAATTTGACTTTCGAATGAGAGGCGAGAGGTCATTAAATTTAATAAAACCTAAAACTCCGCACTGAACGTACCCGAACAGCTGAAAAACAGCAGTCGATCTGTGCACGCAAGGAGGTGCTATACATAATATTCTTCTTCTGGAGAAACGAAAGAGAGCTTCAAAACAGACTGCAGCGCCATCTGAAGCAAAGAACGAACTTCTGGCGGACACTTTTTTGGCTGAGTGGGCCATCTTGTCATGTACTATCTTTGACCACAAACAAAATTACATCAGGCAGGACTGGTTTTGGTGTAGTTTTAAAGATCTAAAATTCCTCATTGCCGAGTCCTTAACAGTCCTGGGGAGTTTGGGTTAGCTAGCAAGCCTGAATAAAGGCTGAAACAGTTTTAGGGGGGTAAAAGTAAAGTTGATCCCTGTTCTCCATGGGAGAGGGGTGGAGATTGTTGCTGCTACGTCTTACAGGAACAGGAGAACTACAGGTTGAAATTGCTGTAATGTGTGGACGCACCACTCCATGACCAGAAGGAGCAGTTTTCCTGAGAATTCCCACAGAAAATAGGAGTTTAAGAAAAACAATCAGTGTCAACAACCCCGGTAGATTTTTTAAAAAGTGTATTTTCACGTCATTTACAGTCAATAAGTCACATACGACCTGACATACACAATTCAAGAAAAAAAACCTTGATTTTTTGTTAATCTAATCGGAGCTCTACGACGGGGAAAAAAAGATTGAAGAGGTCTGATTTCATCAGAATCCTTGGCAGGTCTGCATGGAGGTTATATGATCAGCCTACGTATGATTTCAAGAATTACAGGTCTACGAAGTACAGAACACGGAGGTTCATGTGACACTGACCTTGACAATGCTGTTAGTGGAGACCTTGATGACCTTGTCGGGCCCGCTGCAGAAGAAGCGATGGCCGCGGGGACACTCGTACTCCATGCCCAGGTACACCCGCACCGTGCTCATCGTGTCGCCGCCCTCGCTCGGGGCTGTGGACAGGCAGAACAATTTTTTGTTTGTTTTATTTTTTGTTTTTTTCTTTTAACTCTTTAACCATGTCTGGACCGTGGCAGAGTCCGGTAGTCGAGGTCTGTAACTATAGCTGGATGGTACCACCGTCCGATGCGAAGTTATTATTGTATTATGGTACGGGCCGAATATACAAAAGTACGAGCTAACAAGCCTTTAGTTTGACCCGGATTTCAAAGATAAATGAATTCTACGTCTGGGTAACGCTTTTTTGCTCAGTTTGACACGAAACAAGCGGTTTTAAAAGCGCATTTCCACGAACAAGAGAGAAATTCCGAAACGTGACTTTAAAATGCATGGTTAAAGAGTTAATGTAGGTGCTTTTACACCGCCATCAACATAGTTCAGATTGCTTAGGAAGCCAACTTCCGACCCTGCGTGTCAGGGTCAACCCGGACTGACAGAAAATACAACTATCTAACGGGAAAACCCTGATTTTTCTTTTTCGAACTTAAAATTAAGTGTAGTTGTTTTAAAACTCCCCATCAACACAATTTGGATATTTTGGGAGGCAGCTTTCGACCCTGCCAGCCAGGGCCAACCCAGGCAAAAAAAGGGATACAATTTTCTTAATTTATCAGAAACTTTTTGTCCATGCACATTCCACAATTATGCCCACTGTGAGAAAAAACTCTAGGGCGCGTGGTAACATCTAAATCATGCACTGTACCAGTCTCACCTTTGACAGGCTTCCGCTGCATGCGTTTCTTCCCGCCAGCAAAAGTCTCGGAGACGGTCGGCCATTTCTCCTGCTCGTTCTTCACTGCGATGTCCCAGGGTAACAGGAAGTTGCCTCCTGGCAAGAAGCCTGGCAGCTCTAGGCCTATGATAAAAAAGAACAAGTCATACAGTCAATAAATTTTATTTAAAGGCTTGTCTAAGTCTAGTTTTTTAGGAAGAGTTTTACCGTACTTGAAACACAAACAGGTCATACAAGTGCTGAAGATTAGAGGTATTACAATAGAGTGTAATATACAAAGACAAGAAGGGGAAGAGATTAGGATTACAGATGTTTAATAAGAAAGAAGAAGCAAACCACACCAGAGCACTCGCCAACCACCCACAAAGCTTGTCTGACCACAAATCCCGTCAGCATGGAACAAACATAAAATCCATGAATGAAATCTTTCAATAAAGAAGCTGCACCCTTGAACAGCTCTCAGATCTTAAGCAGCTGTATTTAGAAAGACACCATACAAAAATTGAGATCAAAAGAAAGAGTCTCTGTCATCATGGCTGTGTTCGTCTTTTAGTGCCCCACTCCTTGTCACAACAGGCCTCCACCTTCCCCAGTCTCTGCTTTACTTTGACTTATTATTTCATGAAGTTGTAGACTGCTATAAACTTTACGTATTCAATGTATGATGTAAGAGGTCTTCCTTTATTTTTCGCTGCCTCTATCTTGCCCTGTAGCACAGTTGTCTTCAGGTCCATTTTTACACTTTTGTTTGAATGGTGACCTTTTTGTGTGGTGACCTTTTGCTGATCTTACAAAGCATATTACACTGAGTTTAATTATGAATATAATAATAATGGCTCAAAAACTGGAGAAAAAGTTCTCCAAGCATTCTCGTTCCATACTCAACTTACCAATCATGTGAGAATAAAAGCTGGCAGCTCCTAGCCGGCATAAGGAGAAAGAGGGGAACGTGGGGAGAAGGCCATGCGGCGCCTTGCTGTGCATCATGTATGGGAGGTACTCAGTGGTGGAATGTTGGCGGACCGGAGCAGGTTTCACTGGGGAGCGGAATATTTGTGAGGCATCTTGGTGAAATCAGGCTCTTGTCAAAGTCAAAATAATGAAATTGAAGAAGAAACTGGCGTTTTCTCACCTGTTTTGGCAATTTTTATCAACATTTTTGTTTTTTGGCTCAACACCTTTTGTGTCCATATAAAAACACATTTAGGTGTGAATTTTTCTGAAAACATGGATTAAAGGCACAAAAATGTAGATTTGCAGTTTCCAAGGACTCTCAAGGTTTGGAAGTTACCAAACATTGGGGGCTATTCTTTGCTAATTTTACCTCTGAAACCAGGCAACCCACACCTCCTTCAACTGAAAATATCTTGACTTCCATCTGAGATGGATGGGTTTAAAAAAAATTGAAAGCAAGACAAATGAAATAGTTTTAAGACGATACCAATAACTCCACATGCCCAAAACTTGAGGAGTGCCTGATTCCACAGCGTCATTGACACATTTTTAACATCATGAATGACAATACCCGGCATGACAGTAAATATCAGAAAAGAATTAGCAATTCTTTGAGAAAAGCACATTATAAAGGGTTAAAAAAAATTGGCATAGGTGTTTTTACGTCTGCATCGACACAATTCAATTCATTTAGGAAGCAGGCTACAATGTCCTCTAAAACTCTAAAATGCCAAGAGCGGCGTGGGACAGTCGCAAGCAATTCAAGACAGTTGGCAAGTCTGCAGACTACACAGACATCTTTTTTACCTTCAGCGGTGCTAGCGAGAGCCGCTCTCTCTGCCGTGTGCGGGGACAGAGTGCTCTCCCTCTCCTGCTGGGCGGGCTGAGTTACTTCCCTGTCTCCGTCAAGTAGGTTCACCTTCTGATCCAGTTCTCCAGCCCCAGTCTGACCTGTCAACCAGATAACACATTTTTCTCTTGTTGAATTGACACTGGGTTTTTTTTCACTCTTTTGAAGTGATATTTCTCAGCTGAAGAGTGCAATCTATCAATGAAGAAACACAAGACTAGTGGAGTATATTATGTGTCTGTATTGTCTAACGTATTGTTATGTCATTGTCTCTCAGGTACTCTGATATTTGTTCCTGCTTGAATGTAATAAACTTCCTAGAGTAGAGAAACAAATGAGCATCATCATACTTCATTAAAGACACATTTTGTTCAAGAAATAACACATTTTGCCTATCCAGTGACATATTCTATTCATATATATGTATGCACATCATAAAGTTAGCATCTGAACTTTTCAGAAACATTTCAAGTGCACTTTCCTGCAACATCGGATTAACTTGACCAGTTGCACAACTTTACATGTAGACTCCAATTCGTGGGTGGTTGGCAGGTGCTCTGGTGTGGTATGCTCCTTCTTTCCAATCAAAACATCTATCAACCTTATCTCTCCTTCTTTTCTTTGTGGGTTACTTTCAAGTAACACCTTTAATCTTCAGTACCTGTATGGCCTATTTTTCTTGCACATGTCGTATAACCAGACTTGCCACTCTATGAAATCTAAAAATCAGGACCTCAGGGGGAAAAAAATTGTGATTTGTGGAACAAAAATCGGGATCAACGACAAATCGCCAGGGTGACTGCCAAGCAGACTAAAAATTTTTACTGGCATGTGTGTGTTATCACTATTTTTTTCAATCTTGAAGGATCACAGTATGTCAGCACTCCTAGTCCAAGTGTTTAACCCCCCCATTCCCTAACAAGTACCGAAAGACACTTACACTTCAACCAATGTGCACGAACTTAAATTGACGCCGTCAACGGATGGTCCCCAAGACATGCGCAACTCACACGCCGATGTCATGTCACGAGATGTGAATGCGCGATTGAAGCAGTTTTACCGACAGGTCTTGATGATAATCATTTGTATGTCACAACTGAAACAGTCATCAGGCATCATCGGAGAATTCTGAGTGGAAACAAAAACTAAAGTAGATCTTGAGAATGTCCCAAGTCGGATAGCCAAATAGATACTACTTCCATTATAGTTGAAATAACACCTGCGAGCAAAGTTCTAACACAACTTGGGGCGAGTCAACAATTAAATCTGGCATCGATATTTCTGAACACAGAGCTCCGAGTTCCGACTGACAAAGTTTAACGGTTGCTTCCCACGACAGAGAAGAAGGCAGAGCAAGTTTTTTGAAAAATCAGGCGCAACTGACAGAACAAAAAATTCAGAATACATGGGATCGAAATTGGGAATATCAGGATGCTTGAGATTTGGGGGAAAAAATTGGGATATCCCAATTAAATCGGAAGGAGTGGCAGGTCTGTATAACTCTCACTAAAACTAATGACTCCATCTTACCTAGACTTAGAGCTAGACTCAGCTCAGAGAGGGTGGAGAAAACATCTCCCTTCTCTCCTCCGTCTTTCCCTCCACTGTCGACAGTCTGTTGTTGTTGTTGCTGTTGCTCCTGGCTGCCGGGGGAGAAACTGGAAGGTGTCACTGAGACCGTTGCTGCGCGAGCGTCGGGCGTGGTCGGCATGAAAACAGGAAGTGGGATGTGCTCGAGGCAACCGCAGCACTTTGCCTCAAGTAGCTGATAGAAGTCGTAGTTGGCAAACTGAGGAAACAAATAGAGCTTAAGAAAACTGTAATAAAACAAACAAAGATGAATATCGTGAAGATAGAAGCCATTATGAATTAGCTAATTTTACAGCACTTGTAAAACGAATAGATCACATTAGTTCAAAAGATTAGAGGTGATAACACTTTAGAGTAGCAGCAAAAGAAAAGAAAGAGGAGAGATAATGACGATAGACGTTCGATGGGAAGGGAAAGAAGTAACAAACCATGCCAGAGCATCCACCAAGCACTTACTCACAAATGTCAATACCAGAAGCAGACATTTACTGGCAGCTGCAGAACCCACCTTGTGAGTGAAGGGGTCGTCTTTCTCCATCTGCATACGGCCACAGTTGCAAGCCGCCTTAGTCTTGAGCTGACTCACGTGCTCCGACACCGACAGCTGTAGCTCTCCACTCGTCTCCAGATCTTCTAACGGTAACCGGTGAACCTGTGGTGGAGGACAGAGGGTGGGGCATGGGATAAGAATCTTAGTTGTACTTTTAGTAAGAGTTTCACAGGCTGAAGGGCTAAAACTCAAATGGCCGCTGGATCGGAAAAGTAAAGTAAATTAAAGAAACAGTTTACAGCACAAGCAACACAATTAGTTATGTTACATACTGTCAAAGATTCAAAGTGTAAATGGTAAAAACAAAGGAGAAGAGATCATGACAATTAATATTTGATAGAGAAGAAGGAGCAAACTACACCTGACGACCGATAATGACCCATGATAAGAATCTGACTTGAACTTAACGACAAAAAATAAGGAACAAAGCACCAAAAAAAAAAAAAAAAAAAGCATGAAAAAAAGTCTTTCAACAAATAAAATTTTTAAAAACAGAATATAAAACCAGAAATATATGTATATAGGCCTACTAGGGTATCAAATTACATTAAGACAACATAAATATATTTGCTAGGATACAACGCGAGAAAATGAAAGCAAAAATCTACTTAGGTATGGAAAGGGTAAAGGAAATACACAGGTCAAATAAGTACCTTCATGCTGAGACTTTTAACGGAATGATTAACCATTAAAGAACCTGAAAGGGTAGCAAAGGGTTTGTTTTTGTTATTAAAAAACCCACTGACCATCAATGATTTATTTATAGAGGCACCAGCCATCCATGTCCAGGTGCTGTTTTAGCCACAAAAAAACCCCACATTGACTCAATAAAAGACATTTAGTGCACAGAAAAGCAAAATAGACAACAACACAAACAATAGAGGGACAGGAAAGATGTAGGACCTACTTGGTGCGTCCTTCAACAACTCACCCTCAGGGGAGAGAAAATGGGGTTTCTTTTAGTTTTAGTAGAGGTTTTACGGTGCTCGCAACTGCATAAGGTCATATGAGCGTCAAGGGGTGGATGTCAACAGAGAAGACCTGACAGGGAATCAGACTTACTCTGTTCACCTCTCTAGCTTCAACAGCACAAAGTCTGCTTCAATTATCAAGGCACCCCGGAAAAAGCGGGTCACGTGTGACAAAAATACAAAAAAGTAGAGGAAAATGATGATAGTAAGGATCAGGAAACAGAAGAGTAGCATTCCCTGTTGTAGCTCAGGCACAGTTATGAGCATGACATCGATGAATCAGCCCATTTACAATTCTACTGTGCATAAGAACATGATAATGTCCCCCCCTTTGGGAATGACATAAAGACACTTCAGTCAGTAGCACCGCCCCAGGGGGCAGGGGGGCGGGGTGAAAACGTTTTTTTAAAAAAGCACACATAAAGAACTTTAAATGGCATAAACACTTCCTTCTGGGCTCGGGTTGGCCTTGACAGGCAGAGTGGAATGCCTTCCCCTTAAAATGATCCAAGCTTTGTCGATGGGGACGTTAAAAATAAAACATGTACGTAGAAAAAAAAAACACTAAAAAAAACTTGACTACGACAACATCATGACAAAAAGAGGGTGTTTCTCCCTTCTCCTTACCTTGGAGTTGCAGAGATTGCCGGTGAGAGAGAGCACCTCACACTGCTGCCGCCCGGCCTTCCAGTAGTCCGTGCACAACTTTTCCAGTTCCTTGAGGTGGCCCTCGGTGGCTGGCCCGCGGGCATACTGGCTGAACACTCTCTTCGCCTTGCTCAGCTGTGGTGAGTGAAGACCAAACAGGCTATATTTAGTACTAGAGTACATGGCAGCGATGTCCCCCCACGGAAACGAACGGGGGCTGCATGGGTCCACTCTGGGACGCTGAACCTCCAGGGCAAGACATGCACAGTTTAACAGATGGGAGAGTACTTTTCAAGACTCATGTGAAGGTGTCTCGGTGGTCTAAAGAGGAAATCTACAAGCTTGCACTGAAATATGGGTGCAGGGTGGTGTTTAATATTTATACTAGAGCTCATGGGGCGTGGTGTGGGAGCTCAAATTGTTCATGTGAATGGGGGCACGCCGATTAGGATTAGGAGGCCCCAATGTCTGACACGTGAGACGTCACTGTTGCGAGTTCTAGCATTATACATAACCTCTTTGGTGAACACAGAATAAAACTGTCAATCTGGTATAAGAAACTATTTTATTGATTTCAAAGAGAAATTTGCTTTAGCTTTAGTAAGAGTTGAGCAGCATTTGCAACGCAATTAGATCATAAAAGTGCAGAAGATCAGGGGTGTTACAAGAGAGTAACAAACACAAAGATAAAGGAAGAGAGATAGGACGATAGATGTCTGATAGGAAGGAAGGAGCAAATCACACCAGAGCATCCGCCAACCATCCCCATTAAATTTGCTGCAGCATGGTAAATGCACTCATGCAAATGCACTCGGTGAGAAACATTTGCCTTTGCTATCAAAGTAAAGCTCTAGTTTTATTTCATTATTATATTCCTTGTGGACTAATGGTTCATGACACAGCAACAAGCTAAAGTGAAGATTCTTCCAGGAAAAGAATCAGAAAACAGTAATGTCTATTAAAAAAAAAGGAAAGAAAACAACACCTGAGCGACAATCAACCACTCACACTTTAAGTTAATTGTGAGACAAAAAAATGCCAGTGGACAACTTACTAAAAAAATATGATGGGAAAAAGAAAGGACTAATCACATAAAGTTGTTTCAGTTCCAACATCAATCTCGTTTCACATGTTCCTCATCAACAAAACATTTTCTTTATCTTTCAGATACAGTAGCATCTCTAATTTGCCACTTTGAGACAGAACCTCTCCAAAATTCCATCCTCAAAGTGTGGAACATCCAGCACTCACCTTGTTGAGGTGATAGGCTGTGATGTAGAAGGGAGGCAAGTCCTGCTGGTATGCACCTTCGGCTAGCGGCATCACCTTTTTGCAGCGACTGGAAAAAACACACACAACGACAAGATTCAAATCAGGAACACACAAAGGTAAAATAAATGTGGCATCGGTGGCCTAGTGGTTAGGCTCTCGGACTCGCAACCGTAAGGTCGTGGGTTCGAATCCTGTCAGGGGCCCGACGTTGTGTCCTTGGGAAAGGCACTTTACACGAATTTTCCTCACTTCACCCAGGTAGGAATGGGTACCCGGCTATAGACAGCGAAAGATCTTGTCAGTTTGTTAGTGTTTGAGCGCTTAATCAGCAGCTTGTACTGTATGCTTCTCGGGAAGCTGAGAATGTTTCGAAGTGTTCTATGGTCTGCTGGGGTAATAATATAGTGTAAAGCGCATAGAACCTGCAGTTGAGTGGGGATATGCGCTATACAAATGCTATTTATTATTATTATTATATCTTTAGAAGGTAGAAAACAAAACCAGCGCTGTTAAAGTACTTTTAAAAAGTACTTTAGTACAAATTTAAGTACAATCTAAATAATGTACTTAAGTACATTTTGAGTACTTTCTGCTAATATGCTAGAACAATTCAGTGCTATTGCAAAACATCAAATTGAATAACAGATCCAGTATATTAATTTGAAACAAGGGTTGTTACTCTAAATAAGCTGTACTGGGCCAAAAATAGCGAAGTCGAAAATCGTCCGTTTGCCAACACTCACACTTTCATTAAGCCTCAAAAGTACTCAAAATGTAATCAAAATAAATGCTCAAAAGTACTTTTATAAAAAGTATAAGAGTAAAGTGCTGGTTCTCAAAAATGTACCGAAGTAAAAGTACCAAAAATAGTAAGTACATGTACTTGTACTCCGTTACTGTCGTTACAACCAGCTCTAAACAAAATTATGGTAGGGCAGCGACAAAGAACAATACATTAGCTAGAAGGTTTACAGACCAACAGTATGCAGTCACTAAGAATAGATTGACGGGGTTAGTTCTAAAAGTAGGCTAGGAGCCAGTGGAATGATTTTGAGAAAAAAGTGTTTAAAAAAACACACAAAAACTGAACTTTTTTGTTTTAAATACTGAAAGAGGGACACAAAAAAGTCTATCATTCGTCTTGTTAGATAATGACCCTTAGATATTGCAAGAGAAAGAGCAGAATAAAGAAGAATATTCCCCAAGAAACACACACACTTTAAAAAATCAAACTTTCTACTCACGCTTCCGAAAACCTGAGACTGATGTCCAACATACTGGTGAGGGAACTCACGACGGAGTGAACGTCTGTCGACTGATCCGGCCCAAAGAAATATTTCTGCATGGCGTTGGCAGCCAGAAGCCAGGTGCTCAAGGTGGGAAGCTGCAAAGAACAAAAAAACAAACAAATAAAAGCATTGCCAACGGAACTGAAACCAGCTCAAGTTCATTAACAGTAGCTGCGCTTTCACGCTGTGACTCGTTGAACAATACCCTGGACTTGCTGACCTCTGAGAGGAAATTGGTTGGGCTCATTGCAGTTGCATGTAAAACTTTGAGTCCAATACCTAGGAGGGGAAATCTATTCTATCAAGTATCTTCTTCTTTCCCTTGAGACACTGTATCACTCTCAGCCCAGGTGGATCCAGCAGCCCACTTCCTAAATCATCAAAACTGTGTCGACACAGGCATGAAACATGTTCAATGAATCATATACCCTGGTAACCACAAATGTTCAAGAAAAAGCCTTTCCAATTTCAGTGCTTCCACCAGCAAAAGCTGAAAAGTTAGAAAAATTCTGCAGGGTGGGTTCAGGGGGTGAAGCCCCCGAACAAATTGAAATTTAGTGCTTTTAGAGGGTTGAAAATGGCATTTGGGAGCCTGTTTCAAGAGATTGCCTACAACCTATAACATTTATTTTTTCACCAGCATTCTGTCTTGTTTGATTTTTTCACCTACATATCTTTCCATTGCTGGCAATGTTTAAAAGCAAGTTCCCCTTTCATTGCTACTATAATTCAATTAATTTGTCGTCACACCATTGATAGAAGGCAAACATGAAAATAATGAATGGATATGTACCTTCACAAATACAGTTACCCAGCGTATACCCTTATTTTTCCTCAATTTTCACGTCTGAATGTCGCCTGTCACAACCTCGTAGAATCTTCGCATTGATAATTTCTCTTGATCTAGACAAATTTGCAAAAAAAGTTTCTTTCTGACAGTTATTTTCTGTCTTAGATCACAAGTCAATTTACTAGATCAACGGGCAGATTTCCAGCCACGGTAACAATCCCAAGATAAACAGAAGGAATGAGTGAATGATAGAAAGGAGGAAATTGGCACAAAAAGTTTGCCAGATTTTGATCCATCTGCATGTAAAAAATGTACTGCCGACCAACCCGCAATGAATGTGAGGGACATAGCGGAATAATGGCCGATTGCAGGAAATGCGCAATCTGGCAAGTTTCTATAACATTAGCTTGTTGCCAAGAGAATTACCGTAAAATCCGTAACTTATACAAAACGATACGAAGGCGACTATGGATCTTTTGCTACGGAATTTCAGCAGTCCTACGCTGTCGCAGTTTTTTACAGAGGGAGTTGATAATGATGGAGGAACAAGTACGGAACTGGCAGAAAGTACGGATTTCCGTAAAAATACGGAAGAGAGGAAGCACTGCAATTTAAACCATCATCAGAAACACAACAAGCATCTTTGAAAAGAAAAAAACGAACAACCAAAACATTCATTTCATTCGATTCACTGCAGCTGGTCAGTTATAGAGAGTAGACAATAAGACCATTTTGGTATAATAATATTATAAACAAAGTGTAGTGACAGAGAATATAAAACAAATAACCAACATTCAAAAGAAGGCAAAAAACAAACAAACACCAGAAAAGAAGGGTTCGTTTTACTATGAGTTTACAGAGCTTGCAACACAAATAGATCACATAAGTGCCGTAGTAAGGTTCATGCAAGGAGCCTCCGACAAGGGCGACAGGGTAAAATGCCTGCACCAGCGTACCACAAACACAGGTTCCACTCCATGCCGGCCCACATTGTCGTTGATGCTTTTGGAGAAGACCATCTCGATGTGTTGCCATAGAAACTCCTTCAACCCTTGCTCCTGACTCCATCGCAGCCCGGTGGCTGACAGCTTCGACGTCTGCTGGAGCTTGCCCTGCGCTGTGGCGTGGGACGAGGGAGCCACTAGGCTGGACGGGGCCGACAGGGGCAAGGGGTTGGGGATTCCTGCACTCAGCTTACGGCGACTGGCACTGTACGGTCTAGGCTTCTGGCTGACCGGGGCGTTTTCTGTGGGCGTACATCCAGGCATCAAAATCAAGGTCAACACGCTTACAAACAGAACTGTATTCTTAACATTTGTAAACATAACTGCAGTTTAAATTTTGACATAAGTAGAAAGAGATTTCTTGTTGTAACAGAAAGGAAAGTCTTTCTAGAAGAGAAGAAGAGGAAATCCCACATTATTTTTTCTGTTACTACCATTTCTGCGACCTTTTGCATCTTGACCAACGATCTTAAAATAGTAGGCATGATACAGTTTTGCCTGGGCAGTACACATTGAGGAAGTAGATTGCCCAAGTACTACTTCCCTTCCTTTAGATCTTCACTTCCTTGACATACTCCAGAGGAGAAAAGTCATCAATACATTTGGAATCAAGAAAGGTGTAAGGTGTACATTTTTATCAAGATCCATTTTATCTCAATAAGTCATGCCATGAACTAGACTTTACAGTATTCAGAAAACAGGATCGTGCAGGCTACTCCTGAAGACTGCCAGTCAAATTCAGTTGCTACTTAGACGTGAAAAAGGGTTGACATCACAATGGAGTCTTACCAACATGGAAAGGAAAGAAATTTTGGAACTTGCCGGACTATATATGAAAATAAATGCTGCCATTACATACAAAAAGTATTTGTATTTGCGTGTGCTGGGGGAGGGGAGGAGGAGAATATAGACTAAAATGAAAACAGCCAAAAGGCTGTCATGTTCCTTTGTCATGAGCATTGTGCACATTTCCCAAACAATGAAAATTTATCGGAAAAAAAGAGCTTCATAAATCTGACTGACCTTCATTTGAGGGGAAACATCGCTGCTTCAGCTGCTGCGTCTGAAAGTCCACAGGGTCGGACACCTCCGAGCGCTTGCAGAGAATGTAGACAAACTCCATGTTGGCCGGGACAGAGAACAGAGAGTTGTTCCTGGTAAGAGGAGAGAGAGAGAGAGAGAGAGAGAGAGGGATGACACACAAACAAAGGGAACAAATTAATGTAAACAGGACTGTCATCTTACATAGGTCATATAAGCGAAAACATGTTTGATAGGAAAGAAAACCCACTCTTCTCTCTCTCTTGCCCTTTTTAACTCCCACGGGAGCATAGGCCATCAACAACATTTCTCCAGCGAAGCTTGTCCTGTGCATCCTTTTCTAGCTGTTTCCATGGTGTCCCCGCCTTTTCCATCACTGCTTGTACCGTTCGCCTCCATGTCATCTTTGGACACCCACTCTTACAGACTAAAAACTGTTAAGTCAAAAAAGGGTAGAGATTGGGGAGGGGGAGGGGGGAAAGAAATCATAGCAAAAGAATTATATCTTTTTAACATTTGCGAGGTAAGCTGGAGAAACCAGAAGCTAGTAAGGAAAGTCTGCTACGAGATACAAATACATCCATCCAAAAGTGTCACATGAATTGACTTGTAAACGAAAACAAAAGGAAACTACATAACACATTCCCCACCAGACAAAGGGCCGATAAAAACACTTCAACTCTCCTCAAGTAACACAACACAAGTACGCCATTGCATTTGACAACTCACGAGACGTTGGTGATTGCCCTTGCCCTGCGGAGGATTCTGTAGATGACGTCCTCCATATACATCTGCAGCTTCTTCATTGGGGGGTATTTCTGAAAGGAGAATGTGTATAGTGAATATGTGGAAATAAACCCGAATAACAATGTGCATATTCACATCATTTTTCAAAAAATAAGTCACTCAGATATTGCAAAAACCCAGTGCATTTCCACATAATTTTCAAAAAGTTGTGTTCAGCTGATAGAAATGGAATTCAAGTGAAAAAAAAAGGATTTAACGAAAATGCCACCTAAGTTCTTCAATGGGTAAAAAAAATAAAATTGGAAGGCTCTAATCTTATCGGAGTACTTGGCAGGCCTGCATTACTTAGCCCTGCCTCTTACACAACATACATCAAGCTGACAGAGACGTGAACGCCACAAAACTAAAAACAACCAAAGCTTTTGTCCAGACAGTATTTGATCGAATAGGTCTGTGCAGGTGGTTGAAGGCACCACTGGTAGGTTTTTTTCTTTCTTCTTTTATTTCCTTCTGTTGTTTCTGTCTATCTGTCTTGCCTCTTTCCTGAACTATATGTGAGGTATGCAGACAAAATGAGTTACTTCTTGGATTTAAGCTTAAAGGAAATTGATACATCAACTTTACAGGTGGAGTTTGTACAATTTGTATGTATGGAATAACAAATGACATGGTAGAATTGAACAAAATGGCATCAATTGAAAATCTATAAATCTGACCCGAGTCAATTTTTGGCCGATATCTCAATTCTTGGAGAGCAAGAAGAAACTCATTTTGAAAAGCACGCCTCACATATGACTATTACAGTGTTGACATGCTTCTCATAACACAAACTCAAATCTCCCACCTTGTTTGATTTGCCTCTTACACAACGATGTGAATCCTCACAAAGCCAAAAAAAACAAAAACTTTTGTCCAGAAATCTCCCACCTTGTTCGACTTGCTCGAGCCAGCGTCTCCGTCCTCGGGCTGTACGTCGATGGACGGTGTCTCGAACAGGAACAGCACACGCGGGGTGCAGACGCGGCCAAACTCTGACCAATCCTTGCTCACACCGGGGACGGAGGAGAGGACTTCGTACAGGCTGCCCTGCAGTTTCAGTCTGTGAAATGAATGTGAATGTACGAGTTTCTGCGCCCCCATCGACACAATTTAGAACATTTAAGAGGCGCACTTCCTACCCTGCCTGTCGTGGCCAACCCCGGCTGAGAGAGGTGCAATATCCCAGCAGAAAGACATTGTCGAGGAAAGAATGAAACTGGTCGCTGTCTTACACAATACTATTTAACTCTTTTTATCCGGGCTACGAGTATACTCATAACGAGGACCAGACCGGGCTGCGAGTAAACTCCGAACAGCTATACGATCAAGTCAAACAGCTAGCTCTGCTTGTAATTACCAAAACACACGGCGAAGCTAGCTCTGTGAATATTTAAATTTTCCAAAGAACAGCGATTTCTTTGTTTTTGATGGGTGTAGCCAGGCCATCAAACTCGCTAGAGACAGGAAGCTCTTTCTCCCCTCGACGCCCTAGAGGAACAAGAGGACGGACAAAGTAAAGTAAAGTAAGTAAGTAGAAGCTTGAAAGATGTCTCGAAAATGCACGTTCGCGATCGACGAAGTGCTTCTTGAAGTGGTGCTGGGTTGTGAGGGGGAATGAGACTAATTTGATGAAAGTGACTCTGAATTAAGTGCCGTAAATTCCGTTGTGGATGATAACGAACAGGAGACTCATCTAGTAGCGATTCAGATCATGGTGAACGGGTCAGTACTGGAATTCGTGCAGTACCAATGGGTAGAGCTAGATCTATAAATCCAAGGGGACATCGTGAGCGGGGCAATCAGGGTCAAGTTAGAGGGTGGAATACACCTCAAAATCTACATGGTGTACTTGTAGTTCCTAACCACATACATTTACAAAAACTACATTCAATTTCTAACATAACTGCCAAATATCCTTAAAACCTAAGAATAAATGTAAGAAATACAGCACTTTGAAATATACACTGATTTCCAACTCGTATAGCGCAGCGGCCCCAGGACGGGTATGGAGTCTGTGGGGGTACGGCCAGGACAAAAAGAGTTCACTGTAAAAAATATGCAAAGGAGGAAATGGGAAGTGGCCGTTTGTACAGGCGATTGTCTTAGACAGGTGGTTGCTAGAGCAGGTTCGAATGTACTTACAGTCTTCTTGCCAGCACATGTATATTTCACAGTGTAAATCTTTAAAAATATCATTTACTTGAGAAACGTTACAAAAAGAGAATGGAAAAGTTAAATGGAAAAGAATGTCAAAACAAAAAGCCAATGGAACAAAAAATGTATTTTTCCAAACCTGATCGAGTCTATGGTGTGAAACAACTTCAGATATGCCAGGTCAAATGCACCTCCCGGATGGCAGAGCTGAAGATGGGGAAGGAGATGGGGAGGGGGAGGGGGAAGGGAGGGCAACAGTAGAAGACGAGATTACAGATAGGTGAGGGGAAAGGGGTGTTGGCTTAGATACACAGTATTCATCTCTCATAATTTTACCTCATTTGAGTATTAGGAATAAGTGCCAAACCATTTTAAGTACTAGCGCTATCTTGACATCAAGTCAGTTAAGAACGAATCAATTAAGACTGAATCAGTTAAGACCAAATTCAGATAAGACCAAATCCAGTCAGTTAAGATCAAATCAGTTAGGACCAAATCAGTTAAGACCAAACACTACCTTTACTCACCAAAACAATGTGTGACAAGCTGAACAACATCAGAAGATGCTGGGCGTGTCTAAGCTCTTCCTCTTGTAGAACTGTGTACAGATTCTGAGGACATAGGACATGAAAAGAAAAGATAACTTAAAAGCATATATATAAGAAAAAAAAGCATGTCCAAATCAAGAAAAGAAAAACGACTACATGTACATTATAGACATACAAAGAAAAAAAATAATGCTCAAAGTCAAAAAGAAAAACAAATGTGAGCCATCATGGTGAAATCAGGCGTTCCTCAAAATCATGAAATCAAAGAAAAATGCATTTTTTGGCCGACGGGCAATTGAATTCTTATTTTCTTTTTTGGCTCAACACCTTTATATCCATTAAAAAACACACTTTTGAGTGGATTTAACTGTAAAACATTGATTAAAGGCACAAAAAAATATAAATTTTCAGTTTCCAAGGACTCTCAGGCTATGGAATTTACCTAACTTTGTGGGCTATTTTCTCTCTAATTTCAACTTTGAAACCAGGTGACGCTGACCTCCTTCAATCACAAATATTTCAACTTCTATTCAAGATAGATGGATATTTTTTTCACCAAAAGGAAGGCAAACGATCAGGCTTTAAGATGATACCAATAACACCATATGCCCAAAAATTGACGAGCGCCAGATTTCACCACATCGTGACACAAATATACAAACATATCAGAATAAAAAATTCTTCCCTGAACCATGTGACCATAACTGTGTTAATAAGCTTCTCATAACTCAAACTCCAAACTTAAGGAATATGTTTGCTTTATTCAGCTTGGATACACTTTCACATACAGCAAAGGTTAGCCTGACAGGCAAGGTCGAAGCAGCCCATATACATCCTAAGCAATCTCAATTGCGTTATTGTGTTGACAGGGCAGAAATGTCTTCACAGTTGTAGCGACTTAGTTGCACGACATCAGCGTGCAAAATAGTCTAGGTTAAAATAATGGGTTTTTTGGTGTGTTTTTAAAAAAATCTAAGGCTGTTGTAAGGACGAGAGCCCAGCTGTTGCTGGATTGATAACAAAAACAACAACAATATAATGTTGTTTTATTATAAATGCGCACATGTGTATAAAAGGCTTGTGAATAAACGTTAATTTCGCCTTTTCTGAGTTCACTACTTAACGTCCTGTTAAGTCTCTACATTGGTGACCCCAATGCTGAACACGTTCTGTTAAGTCTCTACATAGGTGACCCCTGACGCTGAACACGTCCTATTAAGTCTCTACACAGTCAATCATCGATGCCATGGTAGAAGACAAAAGCAATAAGAAGTAAACAGAAATCAACACAGGAAACACTTACAATATTATTTAACTTATTAAGAGTTTTACGGCCTTTGCATCACAAATCCTTCATATGAATATGACAAGCCGAAGATTACAGCTGTTACAAGAGAGCAACATACAAAGAAAAGAAAGAAGGATAAATAAAGACGACAGGTGTTTGATCAGAAAGAAGGAGCAAACCACACCAGAGCACCCGCGAACTACCCAGCTCATACCTTAGAGTTGTCCACGTGGTCAAGCTGCTGACACTGCTGCACCAGGACGCTGACGTCGTAGTGAGAGACTAGGTGGGCATACATAACTTTGCTGTCAGCGTCGTAGAAGCATTCCACTGAGCCCTGAGATATACGATATAAAGTTGATCAGTATCTCTGCAGTGTAGCAGTTAGGCACTACGCTGTCACATGCACGAAACTCGAGTTCAATTCCTAGTGGGGAGAAATTTTTCAGAAGTATCTGTCTTCCTGATGTGATGCTTTCAAATCTTTATATCAAGAGTTTAATTTTAATTAATACAAAATATTCTAAAAGGGCCTGGTAAAACATTCAAAGATAAAACATGTTTACAAATCTTTATATCAAGATTTTAATTTTAAGAAAATAACAAATCTCACACAGAAGTGAAAATAAAAGTGAAAATCTTCTCTTATGACTCTATACTTTAGAACCAAACAGAGTGTTCAATAGAATCTGTATCTTTCTCAAGCCATCAAGAAAAAAGCAATATTGTACGTACATATCGTTAACAAAAAAAATGTGACAAAGCAAAGTCTAGGTGTTACACAAAACAATGTAACATAATACTTACCTCAATGATCTTTTCTTTCAGATAGCCTTCAGTTCCCTAGATTAAAAAAATAAATAACCACGATCAATCATCAGAACTGTATACTTTGAACAATTCATTCTATTAATCATTTTGAATGTATGCTGAAATGAAGCATAATTATTATCTACTGTTTCTAGATCGATAACAACAGACTGTTAATACTTCCGAATTGACAGTCATTCAGTGTTTCATAATGAAAAAAATACAATACAAAAATACCACTTAGTTAATATATGAATGCAACATTAGAAATATATAATATACACCATCAATCACAGTGTAAAAAAAAGTGTGTTATGTACCCTGTACCCATGAATTTTTTGTTGAAAATAATAGGCCTACTAAACATAAAAATTAAAAGCATCACTGTATGTCAATAAGTACACAGGTTTATATATATATATATATTATTTTATTATATAGTAGCAAAATTACTAGCCTCCTTCAGTATTCAATTGAAAGACCATTGTTGCTGAGTGTTACACAGTATTTTACAACAGTAAGCAAAACTTACATGAAATACATCCCTGTCAATCAAAGGGTTTAGAGGTGTGGCCTTGCTGGAGAAAGGATTCAGCCTGCCCTTGCCAATGACAGCTACAATACAGATGTTGGTTTTATTTTCGGGTGTATCTCGCAGCAGTTCACTGAAACGAGTAAATCATGAAACATTCAGAGACAACAAATCAAGACAAATTTAGATCTGCTTGTGGGCAAGCCCCCCTGAACTCCCCCCCCCCCCCCCCACGTAACTCCCTATAAGAAGAAAACTCACCCTAATCACACTCATATAATAATAAAGACTTCCAACAAGTGACCACCTCAACAAACACAATAAAGAGACCTTGCCTTACCCGAAACCAACCCCTAACACTATCCCTACTCCCTAACCCTCAACAAACACAATAAAGAAGAGATCCAACCCCTAACCCTACCCCTAAAAAGGCGCAAACCACCATAATTTTGTCATGGCTAGTTCTAGGTGTTGGATATAATCTCTGACTCCTAATAGAATAGATATAGCGTCAAGTGACTTAATGGGAGTCGACTCCTAATAATATAATTCTAAGGGAGTGTCTTCTATGTACACGGTAAACGGGTACTTTTTAGTTTCAGGGGCCCCTTGAGCTTGGTGCATGGTAACTGCTTTGCTCCCTTCATGACCCTGACTTCTTTCATTTTTTCCCCGCTTTTTGTATGTTATGATGAGTGGAATGTAAGTACTCAGTAAGCACAACAAGACCATGGTCTGTTTCCCATTATTTTTGGTCTGGATCCCCAAAGCCAAAAATAACAAGAAAATAACTTTTGTCTTTGTTGGAAGCCATCTTTTCCTTGGTACTGTTGCTTTTTTGTGCTGTCTGTCGTACAGGTACGCCTTCCGTATAACTGACGAAGTGGATGTGTGCGTACATGCCTGAGCATCAACAATCGCAATTCAATGAATCAGATATTCACAGACAAGGCCTACACACGCTCTCCTCTTTTTTACTTTTTGGCCTATCCCTTTTGGAGTGGCTCACATAATGCGTCTCTCCACACCATCTCTCTCTGCCGCCTGCCCCATCTCACTCATGATGACTTATCACTGGACTGGCCAATCACAACCGCACACCCCTGACTGCTTGTTTGAAGCCTGCCTACATACTACATTTACATGGAATCTAGATCTAGATCTAGTCTAGATCTAGAGATCTAGAAATAATAGACTTACGAAGATTTATTCATGGATTGAATCATGATGAATGATAATGACAATTGGCATAGATCTAGATCTAGATCTAGATCTTCTAGATCAAGAGTCTAATAATTTAAAGATGTTCTCAAAAGTCAATCACATTCACAGTCAATCTCAGCATGATGACGGGACAGGGTCGGCCACTTCAGACTTCACTAAATTAAATTGGCATCAATGTGTCTGTAGGCACATGTAGAATCTAGATTAGTACATGAGCACTTCATGGCCTTATTTCATTAATAAACATACCCATCCGGTAATTCAACTGGAAGGCGAAATATATCTTGTAGCTGATGAAGATTGGAAGCCATTTTGCTCGCGAACACAACCTGCTGCAATCGCAGCGCAATGAAACCGAAAGTACAAGAGGTAGGCCAGGCCAACTTGAAATAGCGGAAGTAGAAAAGATTGTTAGGGACTCCAACTATTTTAGACATATTATGGTAGTCCAAAGGATATTCTTTCAATACATAATTTCTTTTTTTTTCTTCTTAAGATTGTGGAAATAAAAATAAAAATGAAGGGATGTGTCAACTGACACCCTGGAAGCGACAAAGGGGGCAAGTCCAAACGTATTTGGACAGAGTAGGCCTATTTATGACACCATGCAAGCTCCCAGTCTCCCGGTGCATAGGCCTCAAGGAGCTTAAAACAAACTGTAACCTCCTTGATAGGTCTACTACCTATTGGGTTCTTGAACGCGAAGGTGAAAGCGACCACCTGTAAGTCTTTAAAGTGGCTTGACTCTCATGATAGCAGTGAGCAGGAGAAACTTGTATTATCATAATGATATTAAGCTTTCTTAAAGCTCGTCTTTCGGCTTCAGGAAACGAGATCATGTGAACTTTTCACATTATTTTAATACATTGTAAATCCACAACAAGGAATGAAATATGCTCCTCGCGCTCTTTTTTCTTTTGTGTGTTTGTTTGCATGTCTGAGACAGATGATTTAATACTTTGTTGGTCAACACATTTTGCTTTTTTCGAAAATTTAGTCAGGCCCAGCGCGAAAAGTTTGCTCTTTACGTTTCCTCTCGCTCTTGCTCTTGCTCTTGCTTCTCTTGGTTTTGCTCTTGCTCCTCTTGCTCTTGCTTCTCTTGGTCCTGCTCTTGCTTCTCTTGGTCCAGCTTTTGCTCTTGTTCCTCTTGCTCCTGCTCTTGCTCCTGCTCTTGCTCCTCTTGCTCCTCTTGGTCTTGCTCTTGCTCTTCTTGCTCTTGTTCTTGCTTCTCTTGCTCCTCTTGCTCTTGCTTCTCTTGCTCTTGCTCTTGCTCCTCTTGCTCTTGCTTCTCTTGGTCCTGGTCTTGCTTTTATTGGTCCTGGTCTTGCTTTTATTGGTCCTTCTCTTGCTCTTGCTCCTCTTGGTCCTGGTCTTGCTTTTATTGGTCCTTCTCTTGCTCTTGCTCTTGCTTCT